TTGGCAAATGATGGTTTTTAGGGAGGGGTCCGTGGTGATGGGGGCTAAGAGTTTGTACAGCGCTTGAGTACCAACCTTGAAGCAGTTGTGTAAGTCAGTGATAATGGCTTTTGCTTGTTGGAGTGGAAGGAAATTTCACCCTTGGAAAATCCATCCTTCTGTGTTTTGGTGATAGTTAGGTTTGTGGAGTTATTGCAACTGTTCTGGTGAATTTTTTCATTCTTAATTTTTATTTATTTATTTGGTTCAGGGTCTCACTATACAGCTTGGACTTGTGGTGATCCTTCTGTCTCAGCCTCCCCAGCACTGGGATTGTAAACATGTGCCACCACATCTGGTTTTTGGTAGCTGGCATGTCATGTCCCAGTTTCCGGGGCCATCACAGCATGCGGTGATTTAACTTGGGTTCTTGTGCTTGTCAGGCAGGCACTTAGACTGTTGAGCTATCTCCTCACACTGTTCTTCTTGTGAATATTGAGGTGAGGGTATGGATTTTGGAATGGTAGGAAGACAGTGAGAAGGATATGGCTGTTGAGCAGCTAATTTGGCCTGTGCCTCAGCAAGAGCATTATTCTGAGCAATGGAATCTGGTGGGGAATGATGTCCCCTGCAGTGAATGCCTACCACTTGTTTTGGGAGCTGTGCTGCCTCTAGAAGATTTAAGGATGAAAGGTGCATTGGTGATAGGAGTACCCTGAGTGCTGATAAATCCCTTCTTGCCAGATGGCAGTATGAGAGTGGAGAATACTAAATGTGTACTTAGAGTCTGTGTAAATGTTTATGGCTTTGACTTTGTTTAGCATGAGAACATGTATAAGGGCTATAAGCTCTGCGTTTTGTGGAGATGTCTCAGAGAGCAGTGGGCCTGCCTCCATTATAGTTGACCCATTGACTGTGGCATATGCTACCCTCTGTGGGTGTCTGTGTTTGTTGAGCTACCATCTATGAACCATGTGTCAGAAGCTGTAGGAAGAGGAGTGCTGCCAATGTGAGGGAAGTGGGTAGGGTCAATGTGAAGTAATAGAGTTGGGGTCATCTGTAAGACCTCAGCACAGCTGTGTTGGGGGACCTCCTCAGAGGTGAGGAGCAAGGTGGCAGGACTGAGAGGACTACGGGTGGAAATAGTGATGGAAGGGTCCTCTGTGAACAAGAGGTGAATCTGTTGTATATCAGGAGTTGCTAAGGCTGGAAGTGCCTTGTGTGTTATGAGCTCACTTAGGTGTTAGGATGAGTAAACTGTGATAGATTGTCCTAAGATCAACGTTTTTGCCTCATGTGTCAGTGTGATGGCCATTGTGAAGGCTCAGAGGCATGGAGCCCATCTGCAAACTGTGTTGTCTAGCTGTTTGGAAAGGTATACTACTGCCTGGAAGGATGGTCCCTTTTTGTGCCCTACAATGCCCACTGCATTATAGTCTTGAGAAATATGTAGGATAAAAGGCTGGGTTGTGTTAGGGAAGGTGAGGGCTGGGGCCGTGAAGAGAACCCGTTGTATTCTATGAGAGGAGGAATGTATGGGAGCAGTAGGGTCGAGGGGCTCTGATAAAGAACCTCTTGAAACCTTATAGAGAGATTGAGCTAGGGATGTAAAATTGGGAACCCAAAGGTGGAAGAACTTAGCTAGACCAAGGAAGGATAGAACTTGTTGCTTTGTGGTGGGCACCTGAAAGTCATGAAAGAAGGCCTTCTGTGATTGCTAAAGTAGTGGGTGTGAGGGTGAATCCTAGATATTTGGCTTTTGGTGAAGCTATCTTATTTTTGGCTGGAGAGAGCTTGTAACCTTGTCCTGACAGAAAATTGAGGAGAGGAGCTGTGTGTTGTAGGATTCAAGCATAAAGGGGGGAACAGAGGAGGAGGTTATTAATATGCCAAAGGAGTAGGCTGAGTTTAAGATCAAGGGTCTTGAGATTAGCAGGGTTTGGCTAAAGTCAGGACTGGCTGGGGAGATAGCTCAGTGGTCTAAGCACCTGCCTGGCAAGCACAAGGACCCAGGTTTGATCCCCAGTAGCACATGCTGTGCCAGCCCCAGAATCCTGGGCATGCTATACAGGCTAAGGCAGGAGAATCAGTATGAGTCTTGAGCTATGTAGTGAGACCCTGTACCAAATAAATAAATAAGAGACTTTTTCAAAAAGCCAAAGACATGAGGACTGTTTCTGAGTCTCTGGGGCAGGATTTTCCATGAGAGCTGTTGAGATCAGAGAGTGTCTGGATCAGTCTATGTGAAGGCAAAGAGGTCTTGGCAGTCTGGGTGCAAGGGAATGGTGAAAGAG